ACATCGTCTCATCACTCACTCCGTCAAGATGCATCTCTAGTTATGATCTACACACTTTGCAGATAGGAACTCTAAACTCGAATACAACTTTAAGGATGTCTGAACATAGTGGAAGCGAGCGAGAAAAGTATCCTGTTTACGCCAACGAAGCTTTCAAGGTGAGTTCCCTCCGTCCTGTTTTATTAGACATAAGTATATGCGGTGTTTATCGCTGTGCCATGTGATTGCGAGATTACAGATCGACATCAATATTGTGTTCGTTGCTCTAGTGGTGTCTGGCGATGTGTGACAAAGGCAAACTCTGAGAGCTGTCCAACTATAACCCCAATGTGGTAACACCCAGCCTGTTATTACTATAAACCACACAGCGAAATACTGTACATACTCATGACAACAAAACAACAACGAAACTATAATAATAATTTCAGAACATATCTGTACAAATGCAACGCCAGTGCCCGGACATGTGAGTAATTACCGCGTTTCACCGTGCGAATTCAAGATGAGTTCGCGTCTGTCTCACATCATTAAGCCTCATTCACGGCATTCGCGCCACGCCTGAGATTATTCAGTCATAAACATTATCGAGGAATATTTACTCGCTACAACACGTGCTATTTGGGAGGGTCATACGATAACACACAGTTCAACTTTACACTTCACAATGTATCACCAGATAATAATATTTCTTTCTTTACAAAGCCATAAACTAATAACTGGGTAGCCATCTAATTTATCGATGTAATATTTTAATATTTGCCATATTGCCATATACAATTTCATATATTGAAATTATCTCGTGCACAAGAAATACCCCGCTCTCAGCTGACGCCAGGATAAAGCAGGGCAAAAGCTTCGTAAGGTGAGATGACCTGCTTTGTCCTTCGTCACGTACGCTAGGCTAGTCTCATAGCCTGTAGTAAAAATTATAGCATCACACAGGTGCTATGCCATAGACGTGTGACAAAATGAATGGTTTAAGAATTGCTCCCTAATGTGGGTCAAAGTTCAGGTCTCCTAAATTAAACTTGTTAGATCTGTGGTAGATCATTTACAGTTACAGACGACAATGTATCAATCATTACGTCCGGAATAAGTGATGGAATAAAAAAATATTTATGAGAGGGTTCTGAATTGAAAAATACAAATATCTCACTTCACGGGCTGGGAAAGCTGTGTAAAAGTAGTAATGGCTATTTGATGTTGATATGGAGGCGTGGGTGAAGCGCTTAATCATTTTTTTCAACTCCTGTCAACTCTAATTTGTGTTTTATGCATTTTTAACTTTCAAAAATAATTATTAAAGCCGTAACAGCAAAAAAATTGTTAATAATAATTTCCAGCCATAATTTTTAGACTGAAAAGCCTTTAAACTAATGATTGAATGCACAAAACTCATGGACAAGATGGACAAGTGTTATTTTATACTGAACGGTTTGAAACACACATTAGTTTTAATTATTTAAATTCATCTAGTTCGTTGAATCTGGGATTCATTCAAAAATACAATTCACACACTGAAAATTGAATTAGACTCCAATGCTCGCAAAAATGCAAGAGTATTCTAATAATATTTTAACATCATGCGAACAGTACAAAGCCATAGAATCAAGTTGTTATTATTACGTATTCACAACAACGCCAACTGCATCAAGATTCAAAACACTTCATAATTCCCCCTTGTCGTTTTGACCACCAGTCTCTGCCAGGAAGCAATGTAACCAATTTCAGCGTCCTGTAGTACTGCGACAGAATATCATTTTCTCGCTCGAGGCGAATAATCACTCATACACATCAACGCATTTGACTTCGGAGTTATAGTGTGCAATACTCAATCTTAGTCGAGAACAAATAAGTAAAAAGATGTTTTTAACTCGTTGGTGGCGCAATTGGGCATGACAGGATGTTGTCGTCTGCGGACAATCTCATAAGCCATGAAGAGGTAACTAATTGACGGCACATAACACCTAGGAACATATTACTTCTATGCATCAGACATAAAACAAATAACTCGTCAGACGTGAAACAAATCAGTTCATCTAAGTGATGTGCACAGTTTGTGGGCATATATGAACATAACATAGCCATGATGTGGCATAGTACACTGTCCCTCTTCCACCCTGACCTGATATCTTTAAATGTCAACCATCTACTGCCTATCCCTTGCGAGCAGGATGTAGCAGTCTTAAAACAGGCTTCATGGTACTGAATCCATAAACACACGTTGTCCTGACAAATATGCTTTGCAGTATTCCCACTCACTGTAAAATGTATACCCTAAAGTTGCATTCGGAGATGGAATATATTGGTGTTTTGAAACTATTATATGACAGATATGTATTTGCGTTGAATAATTACGGAGAATAAGCAATACACCAGAATGTGAACGATCGTCAGTAGACGCATTCATACAATAATTTAAACTGTGAATGTTAGCTCTCGTTCATGGTATTGTTCAAATTCATTTAATACACGTAACTTAGAGGCGAAATAAATGTATGTATTAAATATTTAGCGGATGCGTGTTTCTCGGGAAACGGCGCTGACAAAAGTCCTCTAAAGTTCACAATGCGTTTTCTTAAATTCAACAAAACGAGATATTTCCCCGAGTTCACTGTTGAATACGGATTGGCTTTTGTGTAGCCCACAGTTGCCCACTAACAGAACCCCGAGTATAAAAATAGAATTCATAAATTCAAGTTGAGTCAGTTAGTGGAATGTTGGAGAGGTCGACAATTAAGAAAATAATGTATGTAACTGTGGTGGCCTCTAATTTCCTACGCATTAGGTTTATGAACTTTCGTTTTATTAAATTAAACATTCTGACTATTACTATAGCAAGATATTCCAAGACCATTGTACAATTTTTGCGTCAATGACAGAGGAAATCGTTGTACGTCAGTGCCGTGCTATATCGAATGAGAGGGTACAGTGACCGTCACCTTAAGTGAATTCATGGATATGTGTATTCAGGTGGCGTCTGTACGTTGGCAAGAGCCGAGTAAACTTTGCATACAATCGATAGAATGATTCTTCTGAAGTTGTCAATCAATATTTGGTGTTTGCTCTCTCAAATTATAAATCGATTACATATGTAAGACAATAATTGTCAGGATAAAGCGAGAATGAATGACAAAAAAAAGTGCGTCCAGCGTAGCGGCGTTTGCAATCGTAAAAACACGATAACGATTCGTGAGAACCAAATTTTTATATTTTTAAGAAACGGCAAAATTGAATGATTCAATACACAATTGTCTTGGACAACGTAAATATACTAAGAGTAATTGTAATTATAATTATTACATGAATACAAAATATTGACGGATAATTTTTCGCTAGTTTATGCGCATGCGCATAGGAAATGTTTACAATTGTTCAACCAATCAAGAGTATCAGAGACGCCAGAGGGTGGTCATGTTATTCGACTTGTGTACTAAAGTATACAGGCCACACAATACCATATATACCACGTATATCTTAGCTGAACCACAGTAGCACATTAAACGTATATAAATGAGTATGGTTTTCACGATCTAACATATAATTTAAATTGTGTAACATTTTATCGTAGTCACGAAAGTATTATTTATGTATTTGGTTAGTTATCGCCAGTCAACAAGCTACAACTTGCAGTACTAGAATCTATTTAAATCAACAAGCTGCCGATATCATCGACACACACAGGTCTGTCATGTCGTGAGGTCGCATGATAATAGAACAGGCATTTCTGAACGACATGAGAAGATAACAACATCTAGTGTGCCTGTCAGTCAGTGTAGACCGACATATATTATGCATCTGTAAATTGAACAGCTTTATACTAAATAGAACGTTTTTTTATGTTGAACAAATCTGTAGCTTTATCTGTGCCCAGGTTCTTTTCATGAGTCGTTGGGTAGACTCATCCTTTTCCATGCATGCACCCGTTATAACATATCACCAATGACGTCACATATTAATTCACAATATATGTTAATGTGAACGGTGATCGTTGCTACGAAAATGTCTCACTATTATAGGCGTACGTATCACGATTGATCTAGTAACTGAATATCAATATTCAATAATATAGCAACGCGTATGTGATCATGAAGCGTTATTGGTCAAATATTTACATTCAAGTTACACACGTGTTTGCATCTAGCGCACAGTGCATACGTCAAACCCGGATGCTTGTTGTCATGTTTTCAGTGTTTGTGTTAGTTTCCGACATGTTTTTTGCAAGTGTTTACGGTATATATATATATATATTTGGACATAGCCATGACAATTTGTTGCGCTATGCAGTTATCAACCCTTCCTCGGTCACCATGATGTTCCCTCGGTGTATATATCTTACACAGTGGACCTGACATTCATACTGCACCAGGTCTACCGATCATAATACCTGTGCAACACCCATTATGCTACTGTATACCTTGTATCGACTTATTCCCGAAGTACTAGTGGTCGATAGTTTATCTCGATCAGTAGATAACCTATCATCCTCTCCAGAATAAAATATCGCGCGTTCGTGCGAATAGTTTGAGCAGCGCTGTGTGTTCGTCTTATCAGGGTGGTATTATTTTATAGCTATATGCAGCATAGTTTTAAATAGATATCAGATTCAGTGTTTTTATGGCAACACCGTGAGTGTGTCAAAGTCAAACTACTAGATAATCTTGTTAACTTAAAGTTCCCATATTTATAGTCACTGCCAAATGGACCACTGTATACATAGTCCGTAAGGTGACCAGGGAATCATTGTTCGACCTGTTATACTTAATAATTCATAGCGTATCAATAAGACCTGGTCTCTCTGTCAATGAAAACATTTTACTGTCACGTGACATTGTGAATTTATCACTGACCTCTACTGTCGTTGAAATGCAGGTGTATTAGATAAATCGTTACAAATTGTGGAGAATGTTTTTAATTACATCAGTGATTTAAGTGGCTTAAATAAATACGTCACTATCCTATTTTGTAATGTATTATTATTTATTTGTTTACAAATAAGTTTTACTCAAACTTTTTATTTATTTGTCCAAGTGTTGAGTCGTTGCGTGTGTTGCATAAACTCAATTGTAGTGATCTATGCCACCTAATCACTACATTTATAGTTAAATCTCAGTAATCGGCTAAGCTAACTATCCTGTCCAATTGCACTCTGTGCTGA